GTATTTCGGGACCATAACGGACATCTAAGGAAAAAGTTGAAGTTCACAGTCAGAAAAGACGGAAATGAAGGAAACTGTGAGACCACAGCAAAAATGTGACTGAAAATCTGAGGGAATTTCTCAGAATCGTTACTCAGTTCAGTTCAGTTTTATTTATATAGCGCCAAATCACAACAACAGTCACCTCGGGGCGCTTTATAATGTAAGGGTGAGAGAAAACCCACTGAGCGAGCGCTTTGGTGACAGCGGGAAGGAAAAACTCCCTTTTAACAGGAAGAAACCTCCAGCAGAACCAGGCTCAGGGAGGGGCGGAAGACATGACTGAAAAGAAGAGAGCCAGAGATTATTAACAACTAATAATTAAATGCAGACTGGTGTCTAGAACAAACACTCAGTGCATTATGGGAAGCCTAAAGGAGCGGCCTGATGGGGTGATGTGGTGCCACGAAGTCTTAAAGAAAGATGGAGAGAAGAGGAAGACCTTAGGAGCGGCCTGATGGGGTGATGTGGTGCCACGAAGTCTTAAAGATAAGATGGAGAGAAGAGGAAGACCTCCGGGAACACTTGTGGGTGTAGTAAAGAACAGGGTGAGATGGAGGAAGTTGGTGCTGTAAAGGAAAGAAGTTGTAATAAACTTTATTTACGCGATGTTTTGTTACGGTTCTGACAAACCTGTCCAAGCACATAATTCTGCCCTGAATCCAAAGCTGCTTTTCACCTCTGACCTTTCACACCTGCGCTCAGGTACCTGCACAGTAACGTGGACACGGTCTGAAGAGCTGTGCAGTGATTTTCCAGCTCTGAAGGAAGCTGGGAAAACAGCAAGGCTGAATTGTTGCTGCCATCTCCAGAGGATCATTACTCGCTGTGTCAGCCCAGCCTCTTCCTGCCTCTGATTTCACGTAAACACGTTTGTTTTGCATTCAGGTTGGTGTCACCATCACAAAGCCTGATGAAGGCCTGTAAGCTGCTGCGAACACGCCCTGGCAGCCAGTGTTGTGAAATGTGTGTGCTTCCAGGTCTCATGTTGTAGGACTTCTTTGGCAGGTTGGCTTTTTTTCTCCCACCGTCACACATGTTCTTTACGGTAAACGAGTTTGAACAGCCCTGCCGCTGCAGCTCCGTCCTTACTTTAAGAAGCTTTTAAAGTAATCTGTGTGGAAGTTTAACTTTACATTTAGAGCTCAGCACCTCTGCTGTATCAAACTGTTATCAGTGGTTCAATTATTGATTCGCAGTCAGAAATGAACCTGATATCAACCTAAACAGCAGCTGTGGTTGGAGTTAAACTTTGTCCCAGGATCAGATGCTGCCGTGAGGCAGGGATACAAACGTGTCTGCCTCCTCTTTGTCTCTGACTGAGTCCTCAGCTGCAGTACTTTTCCAGGAGCGAGTTTTCTCTCCTCCACTGTCCTCGCTCCTCCTCGTGCCTCCACACGCTCGTCTCTGGGTTCCTCCCTCCCAGCAGGCGAGGCTGACTTCATTCCTCCATCAAGACGGACAGGTACACGTTTAGCCGGGAGGACATTCAACATTTGGAAGTGAAACTAAAGTTTTATGTGCTTCATTCAATTTAAAATAAACTTGAAATAAAATAATGGAGAATAAAGGTGCCGGTTTGAGCAGGTGAATTTAAGGGGAAGTGTGGGGGAGATATTATCCTGTTAAAGCACAGCATCCAGACCACTGTGGTTCAAAAGTAACCGGACACCTCCTAGCTTAATATTTCTTCTGTAGTATCAACACTGGCTGCTCACAGCTGATCCAGAGGAAGTGAAGAAGAAGAAACCAGTCGCTGGCACTGTAGCTGCACAGCGAGTCAGGAAGGTGTTTCCTGTCGTAAAATGGCTCAGGGCGATCTGGGTTCGGCTGCCACTCTTGTGGCAGTTGAGGAACTTCAGCGGAGAAGCCAAGCCAACAGCACGATGACTGAGTCAAACACATTTTCACTCAGTGATTCGTGTGTTTGATCCATCGTGTGGCTCGGGTACAGCTGCTCCGTGCTACTGTACAGAGTCAGTTATACGTTTTTGCTTTGCTGATTTTCTCGCTGCCTTTCTATTCCCTCACATAGAGCCTACGTGTCTGTGTAACAGCCTTTGTGCTGTGTATGTATGTAGAGCGCATACATGTTCTGGACAGTTCTGCATACTTTGAAGCTTCAGTGAGACAGGGCAGTGAGACCTGCTTGCTGCCATGGAGGCCTTTTGAAGCCAAAAGTGTGGATGAAACGTTGGAGTCCAAGTAACAGATTCATAAATGTGTGAATTTTACTCACTGAAACTGAAGCACAGACTTCAGAATGGTCTGAAACAGTAATATTAGTCAGAGAATCTACTAAAAATGCCCCAAACATCGTAAGCGATGAAGGCGAGCAGCTACATGTAGACGTGTTTATCTCTGACAAAAGGTTGAGACTGACTGCTGGAGCCTCACATGGACGCTGGAGGAACTGCAGCACTCCTTTATCCAGCTCCAGAGGTGGAGCCGTGGTCGTTCTGATGATTACTGATAAAACACATCTGCAAAAACAAAGCTGATTTATGCAGAACAAAGTAAACAACAAGGAACGCATTCCTGGAAGATGAAATCCTCGACTTGGAGACATCGTCGTGAGTTAACAACCTGAGGGTGGATGTGTTCATGACTTCGCTCTTAGTTCATGTTTAACGTTGGAGCCATATTTTTTCTGTGGCGCTGGTCTCAGAGTTTCTCTCATGTCTGTATTTTCTGTCTGAGAATTTAAGTCTTCCCGGAGGTCTTCCTCTTCTCTCCATCTTATCTTTAAGACTTCGTGGCACCACATCACCCCATCAGGCCGCTCCTTTAGGCTTCCCATAATGCACTGAGTGTTTGTTCTAGACACCAGTCTGCATTTAATTATTAGTTGTTAATAATCTCTGGCTCTCTTCTTTTCAGTCATGTCTTCCGCCCCTCCCTGAGCCTGGTTCTGCTGGAGGTTTCTTCCTGTTAAAAGGGAGTTTTTCCTTCCCGCTGTCACCAAAGCGCTCGCTCAGTGGGTTTTCTCTCACCCTTACAATATAAAGCGCCCTGAGGTGACTGTTGTTGTACAAATAAATCATGTTTCTGAGAAATCCCTCAAATTTACAAAGTAAAAACTTTCGGTTGGTTTTAGAATTTAAACTTTGATTCTGCTGATTTCAACAGACAACGTCCGGCAGAAGCAACAATCCCTGTGCAACTTCTCCAGAAGTTACTCCGTTTAATTTAATTTAATCTTGTGAAATCAGCTTCAAAGTGTGTCAACTTTCAACTTTCACAAGAGATCAAATGAAACAGATCCTGTTACAGTGCGACGGGTCAGTGAATAATAATCATCAGTTATCTGTAAAGTATTTAAACCGCAGCGTTTTATTTATAAAGCTCTGTTGGAAACAAGAACAGGGCGACCACAGAGACACAACAGAGTCGTGCAGGTTAAACAGCGAGGGGGCGCAGAGTAACGAGCTGTAACTTTGGGTGGAAGGCCTGTTTTAAATGTGCTAACCGTGATCAGCTCGAAGTTTGTGTCCCGTCTGTGGAACAAGTCAGGCGATCCGGAGAGAATGAAAACCGGACACAAAGGTTAGACTGCAAACAAATAAAAGCTCTTCGGTTCGTAGATGAGCGGTGAGCTCGCTGCCTGCGTCAGCTGTGTTTTGTGCCGCCTGTAGGCGAGCAGGCTTCAGTGCAGTAATGGAGCCGTCGAAAGCACATTCAAAACGATGTAAACGGAGTCAGCAGCATCACAGTCAACAGAATCAAATCTGACTCAGAGTTTCTGTGTCCAGTTGTTTAAAAGACATTCGTCTCTTCTTCGAATGTAAAGCCAGTGTATGGATCTCACCGTGAATCTAAAACGCTGTGTCGCTGAGCGCAGTTACAGCCTTCTTTATCTCGTTTGCTCGTCCGTGTCAGCCTGACTTCCAGCCTGATGCTGTTAGAGACAAAACTCCAGCCCGTTCTGTCTCCGAGCACAGACGGATTCACAGAGCAGCAGCTGAGTCACAACATGTGATCAGAAATGAGTAAAGATTGATTTTCAGGCTCAGCCGTGGGTTTGATGTGCTGAACGTATCTGCAGAAGCGTTTAAATGTTGTTTTTGTATTTTAAGCCTCACCACACGCTGCAGGGAGTGAATGAGGTCACTACGAGCAGCTGAAGCTTCCTCTGCAGAGCTGGTCCTCCTTCAGAGAGGGTGAGGAGCTCAGTCATTAGAGTGGAGTCTGACTCAGACCTGAACCCCTCCTTGGTGAGGTGTTTCAGGCATGTCCAGCAGGGAGGAGATCTCAGGGCAGAGTTCCTGCCTCTCTGCTGAACACCTCGGCGTCTCCCAGAGGAGCAGCCGGAGGTCAGCACGCCTGCTGAGCCCGCTGCCCCCGGGCAGACGTCCTCTGCACCGGGCGGTCTTTTCTCTGCTGAACACTGCTTCAAACAGTCGTGTGTTCTTCTGCAGATTTTGAGGAAATGTCGCCATCTTGTGGTTAAATGACACAGTTGCCTTGTTTGGGTTTCTCCCTGAACACCTTTATGTCTTTATGCTGTTCACGTGACACGGCCTCCCTCTGCAGGTGGAGAAGTACCTGCAGCCTTTCCAGCTGTCCCCGGAGACGCTGCAGGAGGTTTCGGCTCGGCTCAGGAAGGATCTGCTCCGAGGTTTAGGGAAGCACTCGCACCACAAGGCGCCCGTCAAGATGCTGCCCACCTTTGTCAGGGCCACGCCTGATGGGACGGGTAAGGACATTTTCAGATAAAAGCCAAACTTTGAATCTTCCCATAAAAACCAGAACTGTGTGGTTTACCCTCCAGCTGCTTTCTACACATGCTTACACCTGGAGCTACAGGCCAGATGTGTCCTAATGATTAAGCTCTGTGACGCTTTCTCTTAAAATTAAGACATTTGTGACTTTACGTGTGAGGAGAATGACTTTAATTTCAGTCTCTATTTAACATGGAGCCAGTGAAGAGAAGCCAGTATGAGAGAACGATGATATCTTATAGTTCCTGTTTGTACTCCATCCTGCTGTGTTTGTTTATTATCCTGATACTAAAGCTTTACAGTCGTCCAGCTTAGAAGTAATAAATGCATGAACTAGTTTCTGAGCATCACTCTGAGACAGGGTGTTTCTAATTTTAGATATTGTGCAGATAAAGAAAGCAGTCCTGCATATTTGTGTTTTGTGCACACTGGGACAAAGCTGACTCCCCACTGGCACGTGCTGTGATTGGATGTTGAAGGCTTCAGCCGTCTTCACGTGGCTACAGTAGAGGAACCCTGGACAGCTGCTGATGAATCTAAGCAGTTAAAGCTTAAACGGCTGTGGGAGGGTTTTCAGTGATTCGCAGGTGGAACAGTTGGTGGGCGGGAGGTGAACAGGGTCTGATAGCATGTCTGCACCGGCACTGCAGCAACGATGAAAACACTCAGAGTAATTCACAACTTCCTCCACTTTAGATTGTCAGAGACCTTTGCAGGGAAATAAAAGGGCGGTATTATAATTATTAAAGCTATAATTACGTTTTAAAGATGGCTTCCTGTAACTAAATCTTCATCATGCGGTCGGCAGAGAAAGGCGACTTCCTGGCGTTGGATCTGGGAGGAACAAACTTCCGTGTGCTTCACGTCCGTGTGGAGGAGGAGGCGCAGAAGGTTCAGATCTGCGCCATCCCACAGGAAATGATGCTGGGAACCGGAGAACAGGTGACACAAATGCACACTGAAGGAAAACGAAGCAAACGGAAACATGCGAATCCCCAAAATTCACGTGTGTCTCTGTACAGCTGTTCGACCACATCGCCACCTGTCTCGGGGATTTCCTCGAGTCTCATAACCTGAAGGGTCAAACTCTTCCTCTGGGCTTCACCTTCTCCTTCCCCTGTGAACAGCTGGAAATCGACAAGGTCACACACACACACACACACACACACACACACACACACACACAACTTTCTTCTGTGTGTTTCGGCTGTTTGAGGAGACATCAGCCT